AGTTCCATTCCAAGAGAAATTCCAATATTTTCCATTTGTTTTTACTTTGAATTGGAACACACAGCTGAAATAAAAAAAAATTCATGGAATGGAAAGCTCCAAAAATTTTCAATTCAAAACATTTTGTTTTGACATTTCCTGTCAAAATAAAATATTTCAACATTCCTGGATCAAAATGGCTCATTTCACTTTGTTGGGCTGAATAAAAACATTTAATTTCATACTGGTTTGTCATTAGTCTGTGTCCCCCTGAGTAGATACAGTGCTTCCTAGAAGCTGTAGTTCAAATGCCTCATGCTTCCATTCTCCTCCATGGGCCAAGTTGCCTGGCCAGATTACATCCCATGATCTACTGTGGAATCACATGATTCCCGTGATGGACCATGTCTGTTCAACCAGAAGGGGAGACTTCATTGCATCATGAGATATGTAGTCCAACCAGAGAGCTCAGCTCATAGAGAAGAACAGGGACATGAGGCCTTTCTTAAAGACACCATGCATGGTCTCTGAGACTTCTCCAGCAGCCAGCTCACAGAGTCTCTCTGTCTCTCTCCCTCTCTCTCTTTTATTCTTGTTGTTACTTCTTGGTATTTCCTGCAATGCACATATAGTCTCTGTAATTTTATTCTTTCAAAGTGTGTTATTTTAGTGTTTTGACTGGTATATGCATTTCATAATTTTTATTTCTCTTACTACTCAAAGAATTAAATTTAAGTGTGAGTTTTAAAATGCCTAACCTGGCTGGAGTAATTATCCCGATGGTAACTTTTAAAAACCTATATATTATATCTATTTTTTTTTTGTTTCTACTGGTGGTGCACATCTGCACATACCTTGGTGCACATAACAAAATTTATTCCTCACATAAATGGAAAAAATTAGAGGGAACATTGCTTTCCAGTGCAAATGTTTTTAACCATACCCTAATATCATGAGGTAAACATTAGTTTTCAGGCATACATGTGGGATCTTATGCCAGAGTAGAATTTTCCTGGAGAGCTTGTGGCAGGTTGAATGAAGCATTTGTGAGATAGGAGGGTTAAAAACCAAAGCAAAAATCCCCCTTGTTTTTAAACTTTTTGAAAAAGGTTCCTACCCCTCCTCCCTGCAATCATATCTCAATAGATAGATAGATAGATAGATAGATAGATAGATAGATAGAGCAAGAAACTCCTTTTTTTGGTTTTGTTCTGTTAGCTACAATGAGAACTGCTTCCTTTGACATGCAAGGCTTTGATTTAGTTATTAAAAGTAGTTTGTGCGTACATTAGGAATCTCATATCACTTGGATGTCAGTTTGCTAGCACCCATATCAGAGTTGCTGTATCCTATGAATAATGGAAGTGCTATAATCCTCCTTTTTTACAGATGAGGAAATGGAGGCACAGAAAGACTAAGGCTACATCTACACAGGAGCTGAAGATGTAATTTCCAGCTCAGATAGAGATACCGATGCTAACTGTCATCAAGCTAGCATGCTAAAAACAGAAACATAGCTGCTGCAGTGGGGCAGGCTGGGTATAGTTCCATCTTTGTGTTCCATCTGAGTACAGTTCCATCTGAAACACAAGAAGGGTATTTGGGCATCTAGCCATGCTGCCACAGCTATACTGCAATTTTTAGCATGCTAGTACACAAGTAAGTCTAGCTCCAGTATAGAGATACTCTAAGTGATTTGCCCAAGGTCATCCAGGGACTCTGTGGCAGAGCCAGGAAGTGAACCCAAACTTATTGATTCCCAGTCCACTTCCCTAATAACAAAGCCATCCTTCCTCATATGTTAGATCTTGTAGGAGAGTCTAGATATTATGGGAGAAGTGTGTGCCCTATTGGATGGAGAAGAAGGATAGGAGACAAGTACTTCTGAGTTTTGTTACCACTTTGCCACACTATGGAACTTTAACATTACTTGGATTTACACAGCACCTTTTACTAATGGATCTCAAAGTGCTTGAGACGTATTCATTGCGTCTCAAAACTCTCCCACGGCGGGTAAATTTACAGATGGGAAAACTGAGACTCGGGTAGGTTAAGTGACTTGCCCTAGGCCACACAGTGAGTCAGTGAGAGAGAGAGAGAGAGAGAGAAGAGGGGCTGGTTAAAACTCCCAGACCAATACATAGTCTGCTAAATCACAGTGCACCCCCCACCTCACCAAGTTAATCATTTAATCCCTCATTGTCAGTTTCGCCATATAGGTAAAGTCACCATATAAGGATGCACAGCTAGGAGGAGAAAAGGAGTACTTGTGGCACCTTAGAGACTAACCAATTTATTTGAGCATGAGCTTTCGTGAGCTACAGCTCACTTCATCGGATGCATACCGTGGAAACTGCAGCAGACTTTATATACACACAGAGATCATAAAACAATACCTCCTCCCACCCCACTGTCCTGCTGGTAATAGCTTATCTAAAGTGATCATCAAGTTGGGCCATTTCCAGCACAAATCCAGGTTTTCTCACCCTCCACCCCCCCACACACAAACTCACTCTCCTGCTGGTAATAGCCCATCCAAAGTGACAACTCTCTACACAATGTGCATGATAATCAAGGTGGGCCATTTCCTGCACAAATCCAGGTTCTCTCACCCCCTTACCCCCCTCCAAAAAACACACACACAAACTCACTATCCTGCTGGTAATAGCTCATGCAAAGTGACCACTCTCCCTACAATGTGCATGATAATCAAGGTGGGCCATTTCCAGCACAAATCCAGGTTTTCTCACCCCCCCACCCCCATACACACACAAACTCACTCTCCTGCTGGCAATAGCTCATCCAAACTGACCACTCTCCAAGTTTAAATCCAAGTTTAACCAGAACGTCCGGGGGGGGGAGGGTTAGGAAAAAACAAGGGGAAATAGGCTACCTTGCATAATGACTTAGCCACTCCCAGTCTCTATTTAAGCCTAAATTAATAGTATCCAATTTGCAAATGAATTCCAATTCAGCAGTTTCTCGCTGGAGTCTGGATTTGAAGTTTTTTTGTTGTAAGATAGCGACCTTCATGTCTGTGATTGCATGACCAGACAGATTGAAGTGTTCTCCGACTGGTTTATGAATGTTATAATTCTTGACATCTGATTTGTGTCCATTTATTCTTTTACGTAGAGACTGTCCAGTTTGACCAATGTGCAGAGGGGCATTGCTGGCACATGATGGCATATATCACATTGGTGGATGTGCAGGTGAACGAGCCTCTGATAGTGTGGCTGATGTTATTAGGCCCTGTGATGGTGTCCCCTGAATAGATATGTGGGCACAGTTGGCAACGGGCTTTGTTGCAAGGATAAGTTCCTGGGTTAGTGGTTCTGTTGTGTGGTATGTGGTTGTTGGTGAGTATTTGCTTCAGGTTGCGGGGCTGTCTGTAGGCAAGGACTGGCCTGTCTCCCAAGATTTGTGAGAGTGTTGGGTCATCCTTTAGGATAGGTTGTAGATCCTTAATAATGCGTTGGAGGGGTTTTAGTTGGGGGCTGAAGGTGACGGCTAGTGGCGTTCTGTTATTTTCTTTGTTAGGCCTGTCCTGTAGTAGGTAACTTCTGGGAACTCTTCTGGCTCTATCAATCTGTTTCTTCACTTCCGCAGGAGGAGAAGAGAACAACAGTGCATTGGGGAGAGCCAGCCTCATATCCTCATGCTGTCACCTTTCACATGACGAGGACTTAGTGCAGACAGAGTGAGAATTGCTAGACAAAGAGGACTAAGGGTAGTGTTTACTTTGGTGCTTGCTTGAGCTAAAGGTAGCAACTCTAGGACTGACCAGAGTCGAGTTTCCAGGCTAAGAAATATATATCAGGGTGTCACTGAGCTACACTTTAAAAAAAACTGCCCAATAAAGAAAAGTCTCAGCTTAAAAAAAAGATGGAGATGGAATTAAGGGTGTAAATACAGTATCCATAACAAAGAAAAATCTTTAAGGCCATATAGTTCAAAGGTAAGGTTACACTTGATAATGAGAAAACACCATTTTGTATAAGAGTGCAAAGTTTACGTACAACTCTCCCCTCATATCCCTGTCCACTCTCCAACCTGAAATCATGAGATTTCTTAGGGTACATCCACACTGCAGCTGGGAGGTGTAATGCCCATCTTGGGTGGATGTACATATGCTAGCTCTGATCAAGCTAATGCACTAAAAATAGCAGTGTGACTGCAGCGACAGGATAGCCACTCAAGTACAATCTCATCTGAGATCCCAGGTTTGTATTCAGGCATCTAGCCCGAGCTGCCACCTGTACTGCCTTGGCCACACTGCTATTTTTAGCTATCAGAGCAAGTGTGTGTGCATCTATCTGAGCTGGGAAATACATCTCCCAGCTACACCGTGGACGTACCCTTCGTGCCTACACACCACACGTATTTCAGCAATGACAATATGACTCTCATAGCCCGTTACATTGTATCACATTGTTACACACATGAAGGTGCTACCCATGTGACCAGAGACAATTCTCTAGTTCACCTTCTCTTGATAAAACATCAGCATCTCACCTTTTAAACATCATATGTCCAAAAAAGACCAAAGACCAAACTCTCAGCTGAGCTTCTTAATACACTTCCCTTCACTGAAAATGTTATGACCCTATTTCCTTCTATTTATTCTATTAAATGTGGTGGTCAAGAGACTATACTTATATTCTATATAAGAGAGACTATAGTCAGGAGATTATACAGATATTCAATTCAAATGTTTGTTGCACGAACTTGACTTTGTAAGTGAATTAGGACCCTTTCTAACTCCTGAAATCAAGGGAAAACGTCCATTGCCTTCATTGGGAGCAGAAGGATGTTGATCTCTTAGTTGTAAGTAATCATCATATGCAAAGTTTCTCTGTACAAAGGCTTACAGCCTGTCTCTGCTTCTATTAAATCTGAAGGGGTTCCACAAAGCAGAAACATTTTGATCTTCCCTTCATTAGGGCTTTGGTTTGAAGGCTTTATTAAACAATGAGGACATGCACGTTCACTGCACGGTCTGTTTTCTCATTCTGTCTTACCTGAATGACTCCTCCACCTTCGCTGTCCTTCCCAGCTAAAAACTCTTCAGGCAAATTAATCATCTTTCCCAGCCAATCCAGCATGACTGTCTCCAGCTCTGTGCAAGCTGGACTTGCAGCCTATATTGGGGAATGAAACAAAGGGAATAAACCGACTACAGTAGCTTGCCTTTTAAAATTTAACATTTACCAACAGTTGCCAAACATTGGTCTCTGAGGGTATGTCTCTGGAACCTGGGCTTATGGACTTAGTGTTTCCAAGTCCATGCTTGAGCATCCACACTGCATTGTAAACTTGAGTTTACAGTTGCCAGACCCAGGTCTCACAGCTGTGCTATTGTGTTCATACTGTACTACACAGACCTTCTGACGTGGGCCTGTGGCTTGACCTGAGTCCACACTGCAAAACAGCAGGGCTTGGACCTGAGTCTTAGTGGGACTCATGCTCTGATCCACCGCTGTAGCAGGGTCCTAGGACCTGGGTCTTGAGTGCTTGCTGACCTGAGTCAGACAGATTTGTGTGTGGATGGAAGGGTGGGTGACTGGGCTCAAGCCTGAGTCAGAACCTGGGCTGAGTGTGCAGTGCAAACATACCCTGGAGACCCCACAAGTATTTCCCTACACTCAGATTAGGAGAGCTCATTAGTGTTCCTGCGTTCTGCCCAACCTGGCACATTATACAGATCATGGAAGCAAGCTGCAGAGAAGTTAGGAGAGTGTCAGTGAAGAGTCATCCCACCTGCCCAGCCAGCAGGATCAGGGTAGGGAGTTCCCTTATCTCCTCCCTCTTCTAGTAGTGGGGAGTGGAGAAAGCTTAGTGGGACCACAGTGTGACAGTAATCACAGGAAAAATTGCTTGAGGTAGCAGCCATGCGGTGCTCACATGAGGGGGTGCCCATACCTTACTCCTACTACATACTAAAAGATCACTGTACCATATTCTTACTTACACATATGACTGTCAAATGTCAAACTAAGGGTCTGCTTCTGACACACTTACTCACATGGAGTAGTGCCTTATTCTGAACAGTCCCACTGACATAAATTTTTAAAATAATCCCCCAAACCAAAAACAAAACAGTCCACGACACACATAGTTCTCTTCATGTGGAAAGGATGAGAAAGAAAGTGAACCGTATGTGACAAAGACAGTATTAGTCACATCACTTATTGTACTACTGGAAGGTGCTCAGATACTATGGTCATGAGGAAGGTACAAGAACCAATATGGAATAGGGTACTGTTCTCCATGAATAAGAGTGACAGAATGGGTCCTAATGCAGTACCCTATCTTCTCACAGCTGGATATTAACAGCTTAATGAAGAGTTTATTAGATCACCTCATTGTTTATTTTAATTTGTAAGTCAATTATGGGGCTGTGAAAGCTCCCAGGCCGATAGTGCAGGAAGGTGAGATCCTCATTGTATCTGCAAATCAAGTAGAACAAAGGCAGCAATTCAGGTTTTGCCAGGCTGCCTGGCCATATTGTCTCACTACTGTCTGGGAAGACCACTCCTAGGGCTGAAAGAGTTATGCAATTTCTATGGCCGTACACACTGCCAGTCATGATTATGGGTTTTTTTAGTGTGGCCATTTTCCCACTGAGAACTGAATAAATTAATCAATTCTTGTCACATAGGCCAGCAAACAACCATTTTGTCACTAACAACTTCTAGTCCCTGCTGATTTGGGCTGCATTCAAGTGAGTGATCTAGAGTGGAAAGGCTCTATAAACCATTATCAATCCACCAAGACATCCAGTCCAGCCAATGATTTTATTTTAACACGGGAGCCTGTATTTCCCTCTATCACCACTCCACTTGGAAAACCTTGTCTTCAGAATAAAATATTGTTTTGAAGGACGCTTTAGTTTAAAAGTAACTTCACTTTAGAATTTTTAAAAATGAGTTGTTTGTGACACCTAAAATGAATATACATGAAAGATTAGAAGAAAACAAACATTTTTCTGTTTACATTGTGTATCTGACAGGATTTTCTGTATATTCATTTCACTATTTCCTCCTATATTGTCAATTAATTAGTCTATGTCCCCTATTGCTTTCACATAACAACAACATTTTATTAAAATAATAGGATATCATGATGGTAAAACTACTGAGAGCTCATTTTTTGTTACTGGTAGTGTCCTTTTAGGAAATGAGAATAGACAGAGTGTTTTTCCCATTTTATCACTACCGACCCCCCTATCTTTTGGATAGAAAGTTTTCATAGGTGGAAGGTTGTCATTATCAGAGTCATTCCATAGTTGTTATGAAACACTTATGCTCATGAGTCAACTTTACCATTGACTTCAGTACTGACTGCTTACCCCAAGTAAAATTATTCACATGCTTAGATCTTTGCAGGATATGCCTTTGTGCTGCACAGCAACATCTGCCATGATCAACTTACCCAGGAGAAGCCCACGCATCCTATGCCACCAGACAATATATCAGCAAGAAGAGCTGGGAAAGAACTGGCTGTAGGAAAGTAGGCAAAAAAGTATGGACTGTGCCAGTGGGTTATCTGTGTTGGACAAGAAATGTCACTGTTAATTATCATAATGGTACATCCAGACATCTAGGAAACTGTCCTGTTTTCAGTATATGTTCAAGATTATCAAGGGCAGCAGGGATTAGGGTTCAGAGATCTGGACTCCACACAATCATAGAAATGTAGGGCTGGAAGAGACTTTGAGAAGTCACCAAGTTCCCTGCACTGAGGCAGGACCAAGTAAACCTAGACCATCCCTGGCAGGTGACTTTTTAAAAAAAACTCCCAGTGAGGGAGATTCCACAACCTCCCTTGGAAGCCTATTCCAGAGCTTAGCTATCCTTTATAGTTAGAAAGTTTAGTTTTTCCTAATATCTAACCTAAATCTCCCTTGCTGCAGATTAAGCGCATTACTTCTTGTCCTACATTCAGTGAACATGGAGAACAATTCATCACCATGCTCTTTATAACCGCCCTTAACATATTTGAAGACCGTTCTCAGGTTCCCCCGCCCCTTGGTCTTTTAATCTTCAGAAAAAAAAATGTGTCAAGATCAGGTCAAGAAAATTTTTTCTGAAAAGCCTGTTCTGGCCAATCCAGATTCTGACAAAGTGTTTGAACTCTATAGAGATGCACCTGTCATAGGGCTAGGTGATGTTTTAATGAAGTCAGGGGAAGTAACAAAACACCCCATTGCTTTCTTAAGCAAGAAACTGATACCCACGGAACAAAACTGCTCTCATAGAAAAGGAATGTTATGCCATAATGTGGGCAGTCAAGTAGTTACAACCCTATCTTTTTAACAGGAAATTCAGGGTACTAACTGACTATTCTCCATTAGTCTGAGTACACAGAACCAAAGACATTAATTCTAAGCTACTATGCTGGAGCATCAAGAACATGACATGGAGATTGTACATATTAAGGAGAAAGAAAATATTGTGGCTGATGCCTTGTCCAGGCAGGAGGGTTCTGACCCAAAGCATATGGGTCAGCCAGGGGCTGATCCTACTGCAGTTTTGTAAGGGGGCATGTGTGATCCTAGCACTTCTGTATTCAAACCTTACACATGACTTCAATGATGTTTGTACAAAACGTGCCTTGTAAGGTACCATTTGAAAACAAATAACACATTGGTCATTAATAGCATTGTAAAATGCACGTTAACCTTATACATGATGTTATGAATTCCCTCTGTACAATGTCACTAGAAAATATTTAAGACTAAGACAGCCTAGCCTAGGTAAAGATGATAGGATAGGACAAGGCTGTCCTAGACAAGGGAATGGGCATTTACTTCCATTTACATATTAGCCATAAACAGAGCTATCAAGCTAAACCAGAAGAGGTTGTCTCAAGCCCGAACACGAGAGACAGACAATTAACATGGCTCCTGCACCCCATGGAGATACTGGGGATTGAATCCCCAGGAGACCTTCCTAACTTTGAGAACAAAGACAATTCTTTGGGAATATAAGGGACACAGAGAAAGTCCATCTTTATCTTTCACCTAAGACAACAAGGAAACCAGCACCTCATACTTCTGTGAAAGGCCCTAGCAGACTGTTAGCAGACTGTCAGAGAATAATTGGTGAGAGAAACTGTCTTAAACAAACAAAGACTGTACTTTGCTAGATTAAATTTTAGACTCTTAGATGCATGTTGTCACTTTTACTTGCTTGTAACCATCTCTACACCTTTCTCTCTTATTTGGCATCACTTATGTTCTGTTAATAAACTTGTTTTATTTTAATCTAAACCAGTTCAGTGTTGTGTTTGAATGGAAGGAATTGTGAACTTCAATTAATATGGAAAGCTGTGGGTATTGACTCATTAATAGAGCAAATGAATTTAATATTTCTCTGAGTGGTCCAGGAGAAGGCTAAACACCACAGAGAAGACTGTTTGGGGGAAATTTGGGACTGGACATGTGCTTGGGGTCACCCCTGCCAGGATTAACCAAGGCTGGTGGAAACCAGGGTGGAACTGGTGTATTGTGGCAGGCTGCTGGGGTCAGAGCACTGACCCAGGGCTGCACAGCACACAGACACTCGGGATACTGCACGTTTATCTGGTGGCTGTTGGTGTCCAGGCTCTGAGCCACAGCAGCAGAGTATTTAAGGCACCCAGAGTTAGAGGGCAGGCAGTGACACAATCCCTGGATTGCCCCCCAAAATATGACACCCACCTGATAGTAATTTCATCTAGACCACATTTCCCTAATTTGCTTATGAGAATGTCATGTGACACTATATCAAAAGCTTACTAAAAACCAAGATCTATCACATCTACTGCTTCCCCGTATCCACTAGGCCAGTAACCCTGTAAAAGAAGGAAATTAGGTTGTTTTGTCATGATTTGTTCTTGACAAATCCATGCTGGCAATTCTTTATAACCCTATTATCCTCCATGTGCTTACAAAGTGATGGTTTAATAATTTGTTACAGTATCTTTCCAGGTATTAAAGTTAGGCTGACTGATCTATAATTCCCAGGTCCCCTGAGTTCCTCCCTTTAAATATAGGTACTATGTCTGCCCTTCTCCAGTCTTCCAGGACCACACCCATACCAGCTGTTAGAAAAGAAGGGTTTGTTTTTTCTTTAAATTTCCCTCTTCCCTTAATTCGGAAAAAAAAAATCTCAGGTGAATTTAGTGCCTCTGAAAGCTTCTGGAGACTGAAGTCCTCTCTTTATCCACAGGAACAGCATGGGCAGTGGCAATGCGAGCTTTCCCACACTGCCACAGCAAGGTGACTCAGCTCTCACTTCAGAGAAATGAATTCCCTATGTTAATGAATTTCCTGACCTCACTGCTGAGACTGTCAACAATGTTTCCAGTTAGTGCCTGTTAAGGCAGTATAAATCTAAGCAGCAAAAATTCTCTCTTTTGTTTCTGTCCATAAAACTCTTTCCCCAAACTTTAAAGTTACTAACAAAAATCCAAACATTTCAAATATCAAATCTGACACTATACAATTTCTCACTACAAAATGAAACAACCTTTGAGGTATCAAATATGCTATACCTCTATATAAAAAACTGCAGTCCTGATACAAGTTAATTGTACAATTGCTAGAACATATAAATTTTCAGAGACCAATGCTGTATATGGAAATAGTAGCACATTAATTTGCAACATCAGTATTAAGAATTAACTTATGTCACCACTGTAAACATGACGCTAGCAATTCCTAAAAGAATCTATATGATATAGGGCACAACTGTTGTAAATTTTATTAGGTTCAAATTACAAATGAGTAAGGTACAATACCAAAGTCTAAAGTGTTTTGAAAGTACTGTGATAATAACATGCTTAGTAAAGAATAACACTCAAATCCCAGATAAGAACAAATATAAATAAACAATTCTAGAGCATTATACAGGATAAGAGCTAAAACTCACCGGAATGTCTACAAAGTCTTCCATCAGTTGGCAGCCCAGAGGTCTCTCGTTTATTTGGAGAATATTCTCCTGATACACTGTTTTAAAATGTTGGTAACTATGCCTGGTTTCCTAGCACAGAGTTGGGCTCTACTTCTGAAATAGGAGACTCGTGGGAGAGGAGACTCACTGTTTCTGTAACCCTTTTTGTGTTTTCCAATATTTAACTGATTCACTGTATGTAAAGAATAATCTCACTTTCCTTCACCCAAATCCTCAGGCTGACACTGTCATTAAAGATATGATCATGGTGGACAGGAGCTGTATGAATTTGTGACGAAACATTGTTACACAGGGCCACCCAAATCAGGCAAAGCGAGCTATGGTCTGACTTTTCAGTTAATAGTAATGGAGGGTTGTGTTTAAGAATTCCTTCAACTTCAGTTAGAATTGGGGGTGCTCAGAACTTGGGAAAATCAGGCCCAAGCTGTCTCGAACTGGGGCATCCAAAAACCATGGTGTCCAAAGTCACTGACCTCTTCTCACGTTTTTAGTTTTAGGCCTGGTCTATATGTAAGGGGACTGTTGCTCCCTTACTAACAGTCAGTGGGGTGTTTTAGTTGGCTAGCTCCCAGTAGTAAAAGGGGAAGGGTCTATGGGAAATCAGGACCCTGAGACTGACAGTCCCCAGAAACAATGGAGAGAGGCCAATGCTCCAGGTCAGCCTGAATGACAGGGCGGGCCAGCTAATCAGGGAGTCAGGTGACCAGGGAGGTCCCATCCGTGTGAGCTGGAATTGCCTGGGTCAGACAGAGTGGGGCCGAGCTAAGGAGAGAGCAGGGGCCTGAGCTGAGCTGGGGAGCGGAGCTGTGCCAGATCCAGAGGGGCCAGAAAAGCAGCCCAGAGAGAGCAGACCCTGTCCTGGGAGCAGAGCTGCAGCCTGAAGGCCAGAGGCACAGCCCAGAGACAGCAGACTTGCCCTGGGAGGAGAGCTGCAGCAACCAGAGCCAGAGGTGCCAGAGAAGCAGCCCAGGAAGCAGGTCAGTGCTGGGAGCAGAGTCACAGAAGCAGCCTGCAAAACAGACCTGTCCTGGGAGCAGAGCTGCAGCAACCAGAGCCAGAGGGGCCAAAGAAGCAGCCCAGGGCGCTGGAGGCAGAGCAGCAGCAGCAGTGCTGAGACAGTGGTGGAGCTGGGGCTGGAGCAGTCCGGAGCTGGGTGCGGTGAGCAGCTGGGGAGACCGAGGGGGACCCTGGGCAGCAGGCCCAGCACAGGGAGACACCTCAGCCAAGGGGCTCTGCAGGCCAGGCTTGGATCATAACCCCGACAGGGCAGGGGTGACACTGGGAAGAAGGGTCCTACCACTTAGAGCCTGAGAGCGTGTGGCCACCACCAGAGTGAGTGTCCAACCCACAGCATCCCTACAGCACAGCCAGGGCCTGAGCAGGAGGCCAGGGACTTACAAGGAACAGACCGTGAACTGCCTGGACATTCCAGAGACACTGTTTGTGATGTTCCCTACCACAGAGCAGGCTGATGTGTTTCCTTTAACCTTTCCCATTTTCCCTTATTCTTTTTAAAATTAATTGTTGATTAAATAACTTGCATTTGCTTTAAATTGTATGTAATGGTCAGTGGGTCAGAGAAGTGCCCAGTGCAGAGAGAGTACCCCGGAGTGGGGACACCCTAGCCCCTGTCCTAGGTGACCACAGCAGGGTTGGGGGTCGAGCCCCCCAGGAATCCTGGGCCCAGTCTTGTTGGGGTTACGAGGACTCAGCCAGACAGGAGAGTGGAAGGGGAGTCCTCAAGGGCAGGGAGGTCACTGGATAAAGGAAGTGGGAGCGAGGACTCAGATCCTTTCGCTAGCCCACTTCACCGGGGTAGTGCAGAAGCCAGGAAAGTTCCCCACAAGAGCGGGACTATTCCCCCGCTTACATATACTAAAAAGTTAGGTTGAAGGAAGCTGCCTTAAGTTGACCTGTTAATATATGTGTCTACACCACTGGGCCCTTTACGCCAACCTAAGTTCCCTCTAATGTCGACTTCTGTAATCCACCTCTGCGAGAGGCATAGCGCTTAATTTGATTATCATGGGTGAACTGCGAAGTAATGCAGATGCAGCTTTGTGTAATTCAACTTAATTGGCCTCCAGGTGGTGTCCCACAATGCTCATCTGTGACCGTTCTGGAGATCATTCTCAACTCTGCTGCACTGCAGCCAAGTACACAGGAAACAGCTCCTCCCCTGCTAAAGCCCCGGGAATTTTTGATTTCCCATTTCCTGTTTGATCAGCATTGGGAGCATGCCAGCTTGAGCACAGCTGATCATGGAGACTACACGCCCCAAACGCGCTCCAGCCTGGTCTGCACAGGAGGTGGGTGGATCTCATCGCTGGGTGGTGTTGTAGCAACCAGGCAAGGATACTGACAAACTTCAACAGAACCTTATTTTTAAAGTGGAAAACCTCTTTACCAAGCTGCTGCTGCACCCTTGGTAGCTCTCACTCCATCTCCTCAACTTCCCCTCCCTCCTTCCTGTTTCCTGTCCTTTCAGACTCCCAACAGCCAGTGCTCCCAGTTCTAAAAATTACAAGCAGCATCTAAACACCACAGTCCCTCCTCTCTTAAGAAACTCTCCGAATTAAAATAAACATTTTTGTTCTAACCACAGGAACAAATATGAAACAAGACACTATACTGTTGGCAGAAATATTACACTGAAAACACTGTAGATACTACATAACAGTCTCTAGTCCAGACAGGTGGTAGTCTGGGTCTGACAGGCTGTCTCTCAAGCCCCAGTTCCAGTGCAATGTCTTCTTGTGTTGGTACTATGGTGAAGTCATCCAATGCAGACTGGGTGTTAGCATAATCTACTCTTGGTGCATAGACAGGTGTAAGATAAGAAGCATGCCATACCCGCCCATCAGAAAGTCGATATCACCTTCTTCTCTATGATTTTAAGAGGAGCTGTGAATTTATGGTCCCCTTTGCATAAAATTCCAGGTTTTCATATTCTAACGAAGGAACCACACTCAAACTTTGGTTCCTTTACACCCCGCCGCTTGTCTGTGAGAGCCTTATACTTTGCTTGGTTCTGTTCAACTGTTTTTCTCACATCATCCTCGGTTGGGGCATCAGGTCGTGCCTTTAACAATCCAGCAATGTTCAGTTTAGTATTCATCTGTTTCCCATGCAGTAACTCTGCAGGTGATCTTTGCATTGTGCCATGTTGTGTAGCCCAATATGCTTGCAAGAAATCAGTAGTGAAGGTTATCCACAATCACCCTTCCAGTTTAGCCATTTGCAAAGCCTGGACTGTGCCTCCTGTATCCATGCTCATTATTTTGGCTTCACCGGTAGCTAACTCAATCTGGGTTGCAATGGTTATTGCTTTTTCTAGTGTAAATTGTGGTTCTAGAATTAAGTGTTCTCTTACATGAAGCTTGGTTGTTTTCCAAATGAGCTGGTCTCTAATCATCTCATCTGCTATATTCCCAACGTCACAAGTTACAATCAGACTCCTCAGCGAAGCAATATACTGCATTATAATCTCCCCTGTTTTCTGCTGGCAAAATCTGTAGCGATTAGCTACTATATTCACTTTTGGCACAAAAAAGTTCTTTAATGCAGTGAGTGCAGTCTCATATTTATCATTTGCAAGGGGAAACGTGTAAAATATACGCTGCCCTTCTGCTCCAAGGCAGTGGATTAGCAGAGCACGCTTTCTTACTTCAGAAATCTCTGTAGCAGTGATTGCAAGCAGATAAGTCTTAAACATATGGATCCAGGCAATAAAAGCAATTGGAGGATCACCTGGGCTTTGCAGAAAGGGTGCAGGTGTGTTTAGAGGCAGAAGATCCATTCTCATCGCCAAAATGTTGTAGCAACCACGCAAGGTACTAACAAACTTCAACAGAACTTTATTTTTAAAGTGGAAAACCTCTTTACCAAGCTGCTGCTGCACCCTTGGTAGCTCTCAATCCGCCTCCTCAGCTCCCCTTCTCCCCCGTTTCCTGTTCTTTCAGATTCCCAACAGCCAGTGCTCCCAGTTCCAATAATTACAAGCAGCATCTAAACACCACATGTGGGGAGAAGAATCTGTGCAGGCAGAGCTCCTATCCAGCAGAAGAAATGCTGACATTTATGCAAAGATCGCTCGTGGAATTGCAGAGAAGGGCTACACGAGGGACACACAGCAGTGCCGTGTGAAAATAAAAGAACTTCACCAAGCATATCAGAAGGCAAGAGAGGCGAACAGTCTTTCTGGTGCTGAACCCCACACATGCCGGTTCTACAATGAACTGCATGCGATTCTCGGGGGTGATCCTACCAGCACCCCCACAAATAATGTGGACACCTCACAGGTATATGAGTCTAGGGACAACAAGGAGGATGATATGGTGGATGAGGAAGAGGATGAGGAGGAGAATGGGAGACAGGCTAGAGGCGGCACCATTCTCCCAGAGAGCCAGGAAATATTTTTAACCGTGGAGCCCTGTGGGTCGCAGGACATCACGGTGGCCGACTGTGATGCCAGGGAAGGCACCTCTGTTGAGTATACAGTTACAATCAAAGTCCAGTTAAACTTTAGCAGGCACACAAATTCGGTGGTTTCGCTTATTTACTGAGAAGAAAAAGCGAGGTGCTGTGGTTCTCTGCTTAGAAGAGGCCGCTCCAGCTACGCAGAGGGTGGCCCCCAGAAAAGACTGTTTATGTGGACTGGGATAGCCCGGGAATCCTCCACGGATATCTCTAGGAAATTTTCATGGTGGTACGCTGCAATCCTTGGCAGAAGGTTTCTAGACAGGGCACTCTTATTTCTTCCACTATGGAAGGACAGTTTCCCACGGAATTCCTGAATTAATTCTGCTGGCATTATTGCGGTACACAGCATAGCAGCATAAGGACCGGGTCTATACCCAGACACTTGCAGCATCGCCTTCCTTTCTGCCTCTGTTACCCTCAGGAGATTGTCACATCACACAGGGTCCCCTAGGGGAAATGGGGGAAGTTCTCATTAAAAATGCTCTTATAAGAAAAAAAGGGCATATAGACACGCCCCATTCCCCCCCCCCCCCATTCCGGATTGCCAAACCACGCAGCTGTTAATGTGCCTTTACTGTGCTTGGTATGGATCGGCAAGTAGTTTAAAGTGGCTGAAAGGGGATGGGGGCCCCACATGAGAGATTCCGCAATTTGGGAGTGAAAATGTTCCCTCCCCGCCCCCATCCCCTATTCATAAACAGCTTGCTGTGATGCTATGGGGAAGGGCCATTGTTCGACTAGCTACCTCTGCTCCCGACATGAACCTGCCATAAACTTCATTAAAAGTGAGGTCACCTATGACCCAGGGGGTGGGGAGGGCACAACTCACCATGGCAGGAGCAGCAAAACGGCACAGTGAAAGGTTACAGATTCTGATGATGTTCTGGCTGCACCTAGTGTAATAAGAGTTTGGTTGTTTTTTTTTAAATGAAAACGGCCTTGCTGTGGAAACATTTTAGTCACGTACAGTGGCTTCTTTATTTTTCCCCGTAACTGACAGCTGGAAATGTGTCCTGAAAGCAGACTTTTGCTGATTAGAAGGAGGAGAAAGAGAACACGGGAGGACATGTTCACCGAGATAATGAACGCCTCCGGGACAGCTGAGACAGATCTGAGAGCATGGAGGATTTCACTGTC